TAAGTCCGCAGACATACCGCTGTGCCACTGGGGGGCGATTAAAAAAAAAAGATAATAAAGATATAAAAATATAAAAGTGATAATTTTATAGACGCCAGATCGAATGACAAGAGAATAACAATAAGTGTAAGGAAACCTGAATCTTTGTATACATTTAAATAACTCGAATTAACAGATTAATTTTGTCTGTACAGTTTATCAATACAATCGATTTGTGGTAAAGAAATAAAAACATTGCAATTCATAAAACTGTACGAGATATCTGACAGAAGTACCTATGTTTTGTTTTCAATGAACATGTGGAAAATTCGGCTCAATAACCCATTGTCGCGAAGGGGTACTGCTGATTGGCTGCTTCCCCTCTGGTCAGTAGTTCATACGGCTATATCTCAACTTTAGAAGTCTCTGACTTGGTCGTTTAGCCCACGTGTATGAGGTGGCCACTACAGACATCTCTGTTTTCTTGTGAATCAAAATCTGAAGGATTTACTTCAGCAGGTTCAGTAAATGGGTATTCTTATATTTCATGTAAGAACGTGGATCAGTTCTCTCTTTATTTTTTGTTTATTTGATTTTTTTAAATTTCTTCAAGACTGTGGTGTAAACAAATTTTGCCTAACGTGTTAACAATCAGAATTAAAAAATCAAGATGATAGAAAAGCCCGAAATGGAGCTACGTGGAAAGACTGAATCTATATAACTAAACGTCAGTAGTGATACAGGATGACATGACGAAGGTCATGTCCTAGGTGGACACCCATCTAATTTCATATTTAATTTCGGGAAAACTAGCACCAAACTTGACACAGTGATACAGGATACAAAGTCATGAGGAGGGTTGGACCCCCAATATAATTTTGGAAAAACTACCAATGTTGTATATCCCTCAGGATTAGAATTAGCTGTGTAACTAGTATTGTTAGAATTTTTGAAAACAGTATGTCTTTATTTCCAGTATTGGTATCTTTGTGTGTTTTTTTTGTACTTTTAATGTTTATTATGTTAAGAAAAAAGAAATAGAAACATAATTTCCAATCCTTTGTTACAAACAACTTTTATTTCACCCGTATTCCAGTTAGTACTCCATAAAACCAGTACTCATGAAAGAACTACAGTTTTAAGTACTTCGCCTCATTGAAATTCCATAGGATTTTCTATAAGCATAAGAGTCAAACTCGTTATGCGACACAAAGAAATAAATTACCACCAAGAAATGTTGTAAAGTAAACTTACTAACAATTAACCAAAAGGCTTTACTGTTAGACTTCAAAGTCTGTAAAAGTTGAATGATAAAAACGAGGTGAAGAAACTATCTAGTAGGGTGAAAAACATTTTGAAATGAGATAGGCACCATAAAGACGTATGAATTAAAGGGTATTCAAAAGAAGCCAAGATACGCATGTATACATAAAGCTATGATGTTACGGAAAGTGGAAAAAGAAAATGAAGCTATGATAATTTCAATTAATTAAATTCCACGTGGTTAATACCACCAGATGGCAGTACTGTGAAATGTTTTTTTCTATCAACTATTCAAAGTCTTTCTTTTTCAAGTAGCCCCCTAGCGGCTCAGTGGTAAGTCTGAGGACTTATAACGCTACATATCGGGTTTCGATACTCGTGGTGGGCACAACATAGATAGCCCTTTGTGTAGCTTTGCGCTTAACAATAAACAAATAAATAAACAAAACATGGACAGTAATAGGCCTATAAACAACTTGATGCACAACAGCTTTATGGTTAACTAAACATTTAAAAGAAATGTATTAATTATAATACTTAAAACTATAATACTGAAAACAATAAAAGAATTATAGAAACTTTAAAATTTTCAAGACAAAAGCACATTTTTATGAAGAAATAGATCATAACTTGTAAGCTATGAAATCGACAGTGTATAAATGAACACAACGCAACTCTCAATTTAAAAATATCCGTTTAATTGTACCTGTCACACCCACGAGTGCACCGAGGATTGAATTGATGATGTCACCAACAAGAAACATGCGATTTCTTCGATACCTGAAATAAAAATAAATCACTGAAAGTGCTAAAGCGGCGTTTCGAAGCATGTTTAGAAGTGCTGTTAAACACTTAAAAGCTAAACAAATGTAAATGTATGTAAATATAGTACTGTTCGTTCTAACAGTAGCTTCTTGCTTGTTTAATTACACAATGGACTGACTATCTGCTCTATGTTCGCCGCGAGCATCGAGCTCAGAATTCTAACGTTATAAGCACGCAAACTTAATACCGCCGAGACATTGATGGTATCAATCAGAAGCCACTATTTGTTATAAAAATTTATTCATTTATTTTCTCTTTAATTCGCTACTTGAGAAAAAAAAATTAGATAATGTACATGATGTCTTTAAGAGATAAAACTGATATTCATATTGTTCCCCTCCCGATGGGACAGTTGTAAGTCTTTGGACTTACAACACTAAAGGCCAGGGCTCGATTCCCGCGGCGAACACGGCAGATAGTCCGTTGTGGCTTTGCTTTAAAAGTAGACAAAATATTCATACTACAGACTAAGAGTGCAAATTTCACGAGGCAAAAAACAAACAAATAAAAAGTAAGTAATAAAATACTAGAAACGAACTCACGAGTTTACCAAACCAACAAACCCGCCGGCAACTGAAGCGTTGATAGTAGTTACAGCTGCTCTAGAGTGATGAGATAAAAGAAACGTATTAAAATATCCAAACTAAATCATTTATAATAAGAAGAATAGTAGAGATAAAGGACCAGACCTGAGTTCCATAAGATTCAGGTGCATCATCTATAATTTAGAACTGCTAATCACCAAGAGGTTAACCAGTCAGGCCTTTTATTTTACCACTCTTCTCAATCGAATGGCAGGACTGACCGTGACAGTTATAACGATACCACAGCTAAAAATACGAAGTGTGTGTTCAGCGGCATATCACGGCTTAAACCTTGGACCTTTCGAACCAGAGCTCAGGATGTTTAACTCACTAGGCCGAGATTGAATTATTTTGTGGTCTTAAACTTTTTATTCTCTTTAGCATTTCATCCCAGAGATTATTGCTAATTAAAGTTTTATTGTTTAGATATCTGAAAAGGTTTGCTTTGACGTTACATTTAATTCAATCGTAATCCCGGTATTCGGTTTAGAATTGTCGTGTAAGTGGTTGATGCTGCTGACCGGTTGCTCTTTGTTGACAGTTCAAAATTATCAGGTTATTAGCTATCAGTTGTGAGGATGTAATGTTAATATATATTAAGGATAATTCGTTTTATCTTTCATAAATGAAAAAGTCATCAGTTTGATCTTTTAAAGTACTACCGCTAGAGAATTTTGATAGATTCTATAAGCATGTTTTCACGTGCAAGCTAAGCCACATCCTCACAGAATTTCCCTCGTAGACGTCATTGTTAATAATCAGCCAGATTTTCCCCAAAGATGCAGCTGCCCAAGCGAAATACTGTAGGAAACGTTTTCTAGTATTTAATAACATTTATGAAGAACGTAATCCACATTTAATTTATATAACAAGTGACAAAATGAATTGTACAAGAGAAAAACTTTTGAAAAGATTGTTGTTCAATAGAACTCTTGCTACGAAACATCCATATAATCTATATATACAGTGACGTGCACAAGGAGGTGGTTGGGAGGCTGAAGCCCCTGCCTTCCCGCCCCTTTTCACATTTATAAAAATATTGTCAACATTTAATAAAATATGCGCCTGATCCCACACTTTTGTGGGACACAAAAAAGAATGACACACGGGGACTCGTAGGTCTTTACAGTGGAAATAATAACACAGGCCTGCGAATTTAAAGTTCATAAAAGTTGTTTTGGTTTTGGTTTTAATAACGGATTTCCCATAATTCAACTTTTCGAAAATAATAATCGTTTTTTCTATCACTTAAAGATTTTTTACAAATCGGGAAGAAAAAAAAAACCTCTTACTTAGATCAAATTATTATTTCATTTACCACAATGAACAATTTTTATCATGTTTGTTATGTTTGGGTTCTAGAACGATCGATAAGACTTTCACGTCGCGATTGGTCTAAAAAAATCTATAGCCAATGGTTGTCAACATTTTAAGCATAACAAAATATGACCTGGTTTCAATAAAAATGATTCACTTATGTAAAAGTACATGTGACGTTTTGTGAAAAATGTGTACGTGATGGAGAAAAATGGGTATCATTTTCGGATTCAGCGTACAGGAATTACTGTAGAACACGTAAAAGTTTCAAGACAATAAAACTATTGCGGGCCTATTTAATTGTTATATACTATTAAGTGCTAATACGCAATAATTCGCTGCTTAGTTTTAAATTTTAATTATTTTTTTTTACAAGACCAACTGAATAGGAATAAAATAAGATATGTTAGGTTCTTACGTCTCTTTACGCTAGATGTAACAGAGGCAGCCCACAGTTCCCACAGACTCCCCTAGATTCCCCCACCCCCAAAAACGGCTTGCCTTACGATGCTTGAAAATTGCCCTTTTATGTCAATGAACCCCCTGTTCTTTTAACATTACTGTCTGTGTGTACAATAAAATCAATGAGTGTATAACTACAAACGGACTGGTCATGAAAGTGGACTGATCCCAAAATAGTCAGGAGTCAGATGTTAAAAACCAGGTATATTTTTTACGAATTCGCCATAAAGGTGTGCCAACCAAAATATGGTTTGAATTCTAATGCCAAAAATATATTGTTGCACATTGGTCAAGAAAGAAGGCTGACCCCAAAATGGGCGGGAGACTAATGCCAAAAATGAGTTCTATTTTTAAACATTGTCCTTAAAAGTGGGCCGATCCTCAACATGCTATACATCGAGGGCTAAGATGCAACTTAGCAATATAACTGCGCAAAGTTACAAATTATAATTAGATCGTAAAAACTTTGATGTACTCCTCCTCCCCCCTCTCCATCACAGTATGAACCACACCGACCCCTCGTGATTTCCCTGAGACCAAAATAAAGATAGGATACTGGAAATAAAATCCCGTTTTTGATTAAAGAGAACGCTACTATTACCTTGCAGCGTAATGCCACTTGTGATTGGAAATTCCAAAAGTGCTTCCACAGTTGAACACCAACCAGCCCCACCTACCGGTAAATAGGTCCAAATCATGAAAAAATACTTAGATGTTTTCAGAAATTGTCCATATTTCATACGAGAGAACATAGGTTATAAATCGTGGCTTGTCGCACGATACAAAGTATGCTATTTCGTTCTTGTAAACACTTATCTTCCACTCTTACAAAAACAATTAAATATATGCCAACACTTACATATACAATTAGCTATTTGCCAACACTTACATATACAATTAACTATTTGCCAACACTTACATATACAATTAACTATTTGTCAACACTTACATATACAATTAGCTATTTGCCAACACTTACATATACAATTAAGCTATTTGCCAACACTTACATAAATTCAAAATAATAAATATTACACGTCTGATGAAGAAAGATCGTTAATTATATATTTAGTTAAGTTTATAATTATTACATTACCTTTGTAAGTCTTAAGCCTAACTTGATATAACAAGATGTCTAGCATGTATTTAACGATATGTTTTTAAAATATCTTTAAAAATACTTTTATTTAAACGTCTTATCAAACAAAATATATTTGTTTGAAGTTAAACACAAAGCTACACAAAGGGCTATCTGTATTTTGCCCACCACGGGTATCCAAACCCGGTTTCTAGCGTTGTAAGTCCGCAAACATATCGCTGTGCCACTGGGGGGGGGAGAAAATATGTAAACAAATGCTTTAATAATCAATAGAATTGTATGTGCCCACAGTGGCACAACGGTATGTCTGCGGGCGTACAACGCTAAAAATCGGGTTTCGATACCCGTGGTGGGCAGAGCACAGATAACCCATTGTGTAGTTTTGTGCTTAATTACAAATAAACAAACAAGAATTGTATGTCTAGGTTAACCTCACAATACATTAATTTATCACAAGATTCCGAGATAATTCATAAATTATTCGTTAGGTGAGACCGCTAGGGACATTGTTAAATATATTTTTTTACTAGTCATATAAGAACACTGTTAGATTTACCCAATAAAACTATGTACCAACTCAATACTAGCAGTTTTAGAAATGTATTACCACGCTATAACTATAACGAAGATAGTTGTCATCCTGTTTAAATTTGTTACAAATACGTTTAACACAATGATTTTGTACCACAGAGTGAAAGCCCCAACAATGGCGTTGATCGGGTTTCCCATCGGAAGCGGATCTATTCCGTTGTCATAGCGACGAAGTCTTGGCTTTAACATGCTGGCGGCGACCAAGGCCGAAATTCCTCCTAGAAGGTGAACTGCAGCTGACCCTGCGAAGTCGATCGCCCCCATTTTTTTCAAAAATCCGTGGTTGCCCCATAACCAGCCTGCCGGAATACAATAAACAATAGTGTTCAGAAAGGAAAATACACAATAGGCATTAAAGTCGGTTCTTTCGGCCATAGCTCCAGAAACAATAGTGGTTGCTGTCGTGGCAAAGGATAATTGAAATATAAAAGTAGCGAAAACGATTCCCATATTTTCCGTATCTGCATCTAAAAAGAAGGAACCAACTCCACAGAAAGGATTAGTTCCAGGACCGGTACCGTACTGCAAGCCATAGCCGTACATCCAGTACGTTAACCCTCCAAGTATTATATCTGCTGCATTCTTCATCATGATATTGACTTCATTTTTCTTGGTCACTGCTCCGGACTCCAGAAGGCCAAACCCTGAAAACAAGAACTATATATATATATATACATTCTCTGCCAATGGTTTGCAGAAAACGTTTTTATTTAGAAAATCATATCACAACTAAAATACATATGAAAAAAAGAAGTATTGTTTGATTATGACAATTTAAAAGTAAAACAAAATGAATTTACATTCCTGTTGTCGCAGAATAACATATCAAATTGAGATGAGGAAAACTGTACTTGTTTAAAAATATGTATGTAGATATAGTATTGATTATGATGAGACATGAAAATTTAGCCTGTGCATTTTGGACTACTACATAAAATAAAATGTGTGAAAACGTACAGGTTGACTTAAAATGCTTCCAAGCATATGTCTGCAAGCTAGTAAACTCCTACGATACTCTGTGCCTAAAGATTTAAAACTAGGATTTGAGCGGGGATTGGAAAATTCACACAGTTTTTACTGAGAATTTGGAACTTATATCCTTTCAGTTTGGACGTCGTTGAATTAAAATCGCTCTACTCATACAACTAAGAGTTTCAGCTTGTACATTTTGTGCTGTTTAAAGAATGAACACAATACGTAATTTCTGTGAACTCTCTTTTCATTTTAAAACGCGCAGTGTTGGTGACAGCCATCTTGTTTGGGTAGTTCACAGGTGACGTGTCAGATATTTCCTCCAAATCAATAGAAAATGTTTACATAAGTTGCATCATATATGTTGTTTTGTTAATGTTAGAGCCTTTATTGCCTCATCTGGGACATACTGCTATTGTAGCTATGAAGTCATTGTTGTCTTTCTCACCTCTAAGGTATGTTGTTGTGATGGCTAGGGGTTCTTTAGTGTCTCACACGAGATTTGTCGTTATTGTAGTCATGATATCTATACCGTCTCGCCTGAGATTTGTTGTTACGGTAACTACGTGGTCATTACTGTCTCACCTGAGATTTGTTGTTACGGTAACTACGTGGTCATTACTGTCTCACCTGAGATTTGTTGTTACGGTAACTACGTGGTCATTACTGATC